CAGGCATAAACAAATCGATTTCGAGTTCTATTCTTGCACATCATGTCGATACGAATCACCGAGTCGATGCCAGAGAAACCTTTTAGGTTATTTACCGGACACCGGAAAGCTTCTCCAGAGACCTACGCCAAAGGGTACTAGCTACAGCCGAGGCAGTGACTATATGGTTAGCGAATCCAGCGCTGTGTCGTCAGAAGACGTTGACACGGCGCTCTGTCTTCCGTGGCGAACGCCGACCCCAGCTGATCATCGCACACCGCCCAAACCTCCTGATGACAGTGATGTGTGCTCAGCGTACCCGACTTACAAACATCACTCACCCTCCCCCTCCCCCCCTTGCCCCAGTGACCATAACACACCGACCCCGCCATGCGGGTGGCGTGGGAACGGTGAGTGTTAATAGCCTCTGAGTCACTCATAAACCCTGTGAACTTATCACATTTTCGACTTCTATGGAACTGTTTTGGCCTGATTATGAGTTACCCAAAACACATGTTTATCAAATTGGATTTTAAAATGCATAGTAAGTCAATGAACAACTTCTGACCTGACTTCGAAAACTACCACACCCAGAGGAGTGCGGTCAAGAGCATTGAGCCAGATATTTGGTCCTCTCGGTGATAGGTTTGGTCATGGCTGGCTTAATACTATGAATAAGTGCTAAACGAACCTTCCATCTGCCGTGATCGCATGTGCTCTTTTGCAACAAGAACCCGTAACTCGAAACCAAGCATTTGTAAGCGACTATTTCTGTTTTCTTTTGATACTTCGGTAACAATAGGGAGATGGCACCGAATATTGATGTATATTCAGGTGTGCGTGTGTAACGATGGGGAAGGTTGGGTAACAGCGACCATCGTCCATGTAACCTGCGATGTTCGTTCGGCCAGCCCATGTTAGGCCGTCGGGGAAAGTCCAAGTAGTGCGTGAAAGTAGGCCTGCAACCGCTGATATAGCGTGAATGCGTTTGAGCCCACTGTTAAAGGTATTATTTCTAGGTAACGGATTTTTTTGAGTGCCATCTCCCGACTGTTACCGAATCTTCCATCAATACCTCTCGATAGCTTTATC